GACGAAGTGAGGGCCGTGAGGCACAGCTCCCCGTCCCCCGGTGACCCTGCTAGGTCCACCTTCTTAGGGAACAGTGGCGGAGGAAGACGAGGCTACATCAGGTTAGGAAGCAGCCGTGTCCCTCCTCCAGAACAAACAGAAGTGTTTTTTCTTCTTTTTCAGGTGCTCTTCCACTAGACTTTTTTTTCTCTAGGATTAGGGTTCTTAACTCATCAATTGTTTCTGCATTTTGCTTCTCAAATTTCTTGCATCTTTGCTCCACTTCTTCTAATTTTGCTGCTTTTTCTTCAAGCTTTTCTTTCAGTTCTTTAGATGTTGCCTCCTGTATTAGCTTTGCCTTGTACATGTCTGGGTTTCTCTGTTGTGCATATCTTCTAACTGCTGACTTCTTGTCCAAATTTCTTCAAGTGTACACTGCAGGTCTTCATGTGCTTTCTTTTGTTGTTGCTTTTGTGCCTGCATTTCAGTGTTTTTGCACTTTAATTTGTTAGAAAGTTCTTCGAGTTCTGTCTTCTTTCTCAGCATTTCATCGATCCTATTCTGCATCTCTGAGCATTGTTTTTCCAGTTTTTCCTTTTCTGCTTCCAGTTCTGTTGTTTTGTCCTTCATTTCATTAGAAAATTCTTGCAGTTTTAGATTTTTACTCTCAAAGTCCTAGAGAATAAGTTGTTCTTCTTTCTCTTGAAGTAATTGTTCATTTCTGACCTGCGTTTCATCAAGCTTTATTTCCACCACTCTGTATTTTTCCTCCACGTCTTTGAGTTTGCGCTCCATGTCTCTCTGCTTCATGTCCTGTTCTTCCTTCTCATGAAGAATTTCTTCATTTCTTTCCAGTGCTTCATCGAGTTGTCCTTGGAGCTTCTGATTCCTTTTGTCCTCATTAATATTTAGTTTTCATCTGACCAAACAGCATCATTCCGTAAGTCAATGAGGTTGTGACATGACATTTTTGAATGGGGATATTTTTTTTGCTTAGACGAATTATCAGTAAAGTTCCGATCTCTGTTAATTTTGTAAAAAATGAAATTCAATAACACGACAGAAAAAACAAACAAATATATATATATATATACATGGCAAATCTCTGGAGTTGAATATTCTGGAGTTAGGCATAAAAGTGCGCGAGAGTTACATTCTGGGAGCAGCGAACACAAATGATTGTAAAAGAGACATTTGATGGCAGGTCTTAGATAATCCTAAATTATTGTGTCTGATTATGAAAAGTACAAAGTTTTGTAAGAGGCAGGCACTGTGGAAAAAGTAAAGATGTAAGTTCTCGAACTGTTTTTGTGAATGCTTTTCTAATTGTGTTTTTAAAATGTGACACATGTAAAATGATCATTAAAGAGCATGATATTTATAAAACTTTTATAAAAGCTCTCTACACATTTTTCCTGAGCTAATCTTAAGGCCATAGAACGTTGGAAGTCTATAGCAAATAAACTCACACTATGCACA